AAGGCTTAAGCCCCCATTTCTTAAGCGCCTATTGGTACATCCTCAACAGGGTTTAAGGTTTAGGGTTTAGGGTTTTGATGCGTACGCCTACTTGTTTCTGCTACCTCCACAAGCGTTGTAGTGTTCATGCTTCGCTACATGAGACGGCCACACGCCTTGCTGATATTGACGGGTGGTGTTGTAAGTATACTATCACCCTTACTATGATTCAGGCGAGAACTATACTAGACCGATACTATAAAGTATACTATAACTATTCTATAATGATCGTGTAGTCACACTGTAATGCTGTAATGTACCCCAAAGCCCCATCGCAGCTGGATCACTGCTGTTCCAAAGTGTACCGAACCCACGATCCTCAACCCGAAACCCCTTAAACCCTAACCCAAAACCCTAAAGCGCTGAGTCTTTAAACCTTAAACCCTCTACTGTTGATGGCTTCTGAATGCCTGTGACAGGCCGTGAAGTACGTCGTCGTCTCCGGCGGAGTCTGCAGTTCCCTTGGCAAGGCGGGGGGGGGGGGGGCCTGATGCTAATTATGGTTTAAGGTATAAATAAGCTACAATTTTAAGAAATCCATATAACAAATAAGGAATCTAAACAGGTAGGGGCATTCCGTGATGAAGGGGTATTGAACCCAAAAGCCTAGACCCTAAACCCTAAACCCTAAACCTTATAAACCCTAGACCCTATAGACCCTAAGCCCTTAACCCTATAAGCCCTAAATCCTAAACCTTATAAACCCTAGACCCTATAAACCCTATAAGCCCTATACACCCTAAAAACCGTAAACCCTATAAACCCTATAAACCCCAAACCCTAGAAGCCCCAAACCCCAAACCGGAGTAAAGCTTCGCCAGCTTCCCTGCAGGGAGTTGCCACATCATCGATCGGAGCGCTCCTCCGTGGCCATGGCTTCCGCGCAACGGCCTCAAGCGTTTAGGGTTTAGGGTTAGGGTTTAGGGGTTTGGCTTTAGGGTTTAGGGGTTAGGGTTTAGAGTTTAGGGATTAGGGTTTAGGATTTAGAGTCTTAGGGGTTAGGCTTGATATGGTATGGTATAGTACAATGTGATATAGTAATGTTATACAAAAATATACTAGACGCGTGAAGAAGAGTGGACGTGCAGGTCACGGCTATCAAAATGGATCCATACATCAACATTGACGCTGGCCTGATGAGCCCGTCTTCTGGCAGCATACACAGCCAGACTGACCGAAAACCCTAAACCCTAAACCCTAAAAACCCTAAATCGTAAAATCCTAAACCCTAAAACCCTAAACCCTAAAACCCTAAACCCTAAAGCATGGAATTTTGCTGGCTTGACTGAGGTACGAGCACGGTGAGGCCGAGGGTCTTCCAGAATCGTAGCCGTAGACCAGTCCTTGGGTTCGGGGTCTCTAGGGTTTATGGTTTAGGGTTTAGGGTCTATAGGGTTTATGGTTTGATGCAGTCATTCGCCAATACTAACTGTGTTTTGTAGTGGGATTGTGGGCAGCATCGGCGAAGGATATATGAGCATAAGCCTCTGCTGCTGCGTGTAAATCATGTTGCTCTTGCCTGTCAAACGTCAAACATGCGCCGTGGCTGCATCTTGCCCCTGCAGGTGTATGTGCTGCCCGGCTGCACTTCCAACACCACCATTGCTGTCGAACTGTAGCCCCCCTAAACCCTAGACCCTAAGCCCAGAGCCCTAAGCCCTAAACCCAAACCCTAAACCACACGGGTGACAGCTTGATTGGGGAGCCATGGAATCTGGTGCTGGTCGGGTCGGCACAGGTTGGATGACGGCGGAGAGACAGACCTCGACCTGGGCAACTACGAGCGGATGATGTACCTCTCCCTTGGAAGGCGTCGTCTTCACCTTTGGGAATTGCACCACCAGCTCGGCCTTTACCAGCTGTGTTAGCAAACCGTGTCAAGGGCTCGGGGTGTTGGAAAATAAAACTAATTGAGGCGCTGGTTTGAGAACTGCTGGCTTGAGCCTTCTGTTCTGAGTCTGAGTGGTTGTGCTGCTTGCTCCCAGGGATAACAACCTCACGACCGGGAAAGTCTACGAGTCGGTCATCAAGAAGGAGGGTTTGCTTTTAAATAGAGGTTTGGGTTTTGGGGATGTATTGTCGTTTAAATTGCATCTATAGGAAAGTGAGTTCCCCTGAACCCTAAACGGTTTAGGGTTAAGGGTAAACTCGAAAACCGCTGTGCAGAGTCAGTTTTTGGGTGCGCGGAGGGGAGGAAAAGGAATCAGCCTGACTTTGCCAGGAGCGCGAGGGAAAATACTTGGGCAAAACCGTGCAAGTCGTTCCCCACATTACCGGGGAGATGATCTCCTGGATCGACAGCCACAGAGCTGCATGGGGTGTTGGGGTTTAGCGATTTAGGGTACTACACTAGACCCTAAAACCCCTCAGCCCTGAACCCCTAAAGCCCTAGATTAACCCCTAAAGCCTAAACCTTCAAATCCTAAACCCTTCAATCCTAATCCCTATAGGGCTCAGGGGCTTTGGGTTTAGGGTTGCAGACCTCAGAGCACCCATTAACTGTTTCCCTAGGGTTCAGCCACAGATCTCCGAACTTTGGGACCCCCCAAAAGCTACGAAGGGGTCTATTTTATGGGACCTACTCCCAGGGAGCTGCCTCTAACATCTGCAGATGCTGCAGGTGTTGCAAAGAAATCCGTGGATGGCACAACTCTGCGGCCTCAGATCTGCATTTTGGCAGATTTGATCTTCATCCTGCGTACCATTGTTATGACTAGCACTGGTATCACTAGTCGTCTGCTAATCTTATGTCTCTGTGTCTTGTTTCTATTTGCGGTCGTCATCGTCATGGTCATTTGGCTATCGTGAGTATGATTGTTGTTGTCAACAAGTCATTTGCTCAATCTGACTTCTCGATCAGGCATGATCGAGCTCGGCGGGACGATTGGCGACATCGAGTCCATGCCATTTATTGAGGCCCTTCGCCAATTGAAGTTCAACCTGCCCGAGACACCAGGCTAACCACTTAAGAATCATGCGCTTTGGATTTTATCCTAGAGCCTAAACATTGTGAGCACCACCAATCTGAGGAACTCGCTCGTCTGGTGCCACTGCTCCTACATACCGACCCTCGAAGCATTTACACGGACTTGCCACTGAAGCGCCCAGAACGCATATCGATGCGGCGACCATGACAGCAGGGGCAACGCTATCTGGTAGTCGTAGCCCTGGTGGTAGTAGAGGATGTGGCGGTGGTGGTATTTCGTGGTGCGAGTGGTGGGTGTTGGTGCTTGATGGTGGGTGGTGGGTGGCGGGTGGCAGGTGGGGAGTGATGGTGGTGGTTTGTGGTGGTGGAAGCAGCAGCAGTAGTGCCCGCACTAGTCGTTTCCGCACTCGCGGTCGTGATAGTCGTCGTGAGGAACATGAGCGGCCAGAAGACCAAGCCGACACAGCACTCAGCAGCTTGGTCAAAGCTGAGAAAGCTGTATAAAACTTCAGCAACACTAGGCCTGGGTGCACTGAGGTCAAGACACTATTGGGCCTAGGCCTGGCCTCAGAGAACGTCGACGCTGCGGTAGTGCTTGTGATAGCAGTAGCAGTAGAAGTAGGAGCAGCAGCAGCAGCGGGTGCAGGGGGCAGCAACGGGTAGCAGTCGCAGATCGGTGTCATCGTGGTTGCAGTTCCTTCTGTCGCTGCAGACGTTGCTGTTATGGTTCTTGCCATACGCACGTCGCAATTACGGTTTCTGCAGTGCATCCGAGCAGCACGACGCATCATAAAAGATAGCTCCGCCAGAGCAGGCGTGCAGCCGGACCTCATCATCTGCAGATGCACGTGCCCGAGCGTCCAGCGAGTGCACGCAAACTGCACGCAGAGTGTGCTGAGGTCCGGACCCCGTGCTCGAGGAGACACGAAAGAAGATTGCAAACCAGTCGAAGTCTGAGCAGTACAGCCATGGCACAAGTCTGCAGGGAAGATGCGAGTGTATCAAGGTGCAACATTCCGGCGAATCGTATCATCAGCGCCCATGATGTTACAAACCTCTTTCACGTTCCAGGCCAGTGCGATTCTGCTGACCCTGCGACCCATCCGAGGGACTTCGAAAGCAACGCCTGTTCCAGGCATCTTCGCGCAGCAACATCTCATCGGGGTGATGAACGGCTTGCTAAAGCTCGATCAACTGGATGTACCCAGGCTGAGTTCAAGAAAAGCCCATGATTGCGTCAGCCTCGGGAAACCACTCGGTTTGTGGCCCAAGGTCGCAAAGCCTTCGCCACTGAGCCCCTCAGCCTGAGAATAGCTTTGTTGGCGGTCTCTGCGTCTACCTTCCAAGTTTAGAAATGTGGTGGTTAGATTATGTGCGATAGCATCTTGCACACCTTCCCGCGACCTTTCCAGCTACCGTTTCCCGTGGAGAACAGCTCAGACTATCTTTAACTGATTAATTGCAGGTGTTTCGTGGTGTCCATGTGCCTGTTCTGCTGGCCGGTGTTCAAAGACAGTTTGCATGTCCCGCAGCGGTGCTAGTCGATTTAAGACCCTGCAAAGGATTCCAAAGCTCGGTGGATGCAGTGCCCAAGGTCGCTACTCGAAGAGCATGCGGACCCTCAACGACTGGGATCGATTTGCGAAGCAGGTCGATCAGGCCGGAGTGCTGCGCTGATTCCATCCCATGAGATTAGCCCCTAAACGCCCTAACACCCCAAACCCCTAAACCCCGAAGATCCCTAAGCCCTACCAAAAGACGGAAGGCTGAAATTAGCAAGCCCGTGACCATCGCCTTTGTGGGCAAGTACAACAAAGGTGGTGGAATCCTCAAAGAAGCCATGGCCTGTGACAGCGAAGATGCCTAAAGGGAGCAATTGTGCGATTCAGGTGGAGATGCCTATCAGTCCGTTATTGCTGCTCTTAGTCATGCCGCAGTCGCTGTCACAAGCGCTTTGGATGCAAGTCATCCACCCCCCCACACACGCGTAATAAAGCATGCATGCACTTTACAGTCATGGCACTGACGGAGGAAAGCTCAAGATTGTGCGGTCCTCAGTTGAAGTGCTTCAGTGGCACAGCCGAAAATGCTACGGTAATCTCGAACGGCACCCCTATGTTGCATTTCACCCATGCCAGGACTGGGTCGATGCAACTGAGTTGGAAGCTCCCAGCAAAGACAGCTCGGACTACGAGGAGGAGATGAAGAGAAAGGCAGCTGCTGAGGCGCTGAGCACATGCCCCACTTATGCCCCTCCCAGTGTTTGGAGCACCCTAAACCCTAATCCCCAAATCCTAAAACCCTCAACCCTAACACTCCAAATCCTAAAACCCTTAAACCCTAATCCCCAAATCCTAAAACCCTAAAACCCTAGTCCCCAAATTCCTAAAGCAGGCAACCCTAAAACTCCAAAGGCACGGCTCAAAGCTGCAGATGGCATCTTCGTGCCCGGAGGCTTCGGCGATCGAGGCTAGGAAGCCGATGCCAGTTCCCTGCACCCCCGCCTGCATGATCTACGGTTTAGGGTTTA